GTAAGGGAAATTTGGGAAAATATGGAGAAGTAAGACATTTGTGTTACACAGATATGGTTTGTTGCCTGTTGGTGATGTCATGTATAGTAGTCTTAACTCATCTGCTGTGTGACATATATCATGTTGGGTAAAATCTCTTTACAAACTAAATGATGTATAATGATTAAATGTATAAATGATAATAAATAATACAAATATATACATATATGTATATATACACACATATATTTTTAAATACCTATTTAATGACCACAGTAAGCTATATAGCCTTATCTAAGGTACTACTTTATAGTATATTCATTCTACCCACAGCGTTGCATGCCTAAAGTCAACATGTGTTTACAGATATGTATATATCAGCTAAACTTACTATTAAAACTAGTTAGATTAATTAATATAATTTTTGAATCGATGTAATGTGAGATAAAATTAAAAAGGAGTGGAAAGCAACTCCAGATACCAGAGAAAGTGTAGGAGGAGAGTGGGAAATGGCAGAGGGTGAGAAATAGGGGAGAAAAAATACATATACAAGAAACAAGAAATGGAAAATTATTTGTTGACAATAACATGTATGGGTAAGTCACTTTACAGTGTATTATGGAGGGGAAATTGCATTTTTTTATGCTGTGATGATGTTCAGTGAAAGAATGTAAAATAAATACATTAATTTTAAAAAAAGAATTAAACATATAGGAAAATTCTCTTCATTATGAACAGTACTTATTTTTTTTTCCTTGCTTCCCATTTCCCTAGGAAAGTGACAATACTGGAGGACCCTGACCAGAACATTCATCTGAAAAACCTCTCTCTTCATCAGGCAACCACAGAGGAAGAAGCTCTGAATTTGCTTTTCTTAGGAGACACTAACAGAATGATTGCAGAGGTACTAAACTTTTCTCTTTGGGCTGCTTTTCTAGTTATATACATAGAATTTGGGCGGGGGAAGAAATGACCTTAAAAATAGTGTCATTCCAATCTCATGTTTTGTATGAGGAAGTGTAGATCAAGAGAAATGAGGAGACTTTCCCAAGTTCACCCAGATAATTAATGAGCAGAGACTGAAATCTAGACTCTTGGATTCCCAATTCACCTTTTCTACTCTACTGTGTTGTCTACCATTTAGTTTTACTTTTTATACTTTTCAATTTTACTTAAAATAGTTTGTAGCTAATCACTGACAACTGAGTAAGTGTCATATTAGGGGGATTATTACCTATTATCCTTCAATTTTTTTTAATTTCATGATTTCTTATTTACATGTAATTATTGCACTTCCCTATAGCACACCATATAGTTTTGTGAGACATGCATGCAGTTTGCAACAATTAAATCAAGAATATTACCATATATACCATTTCATTTTATTTCAATTCACATTTAATCACATTTATTTTTACAGCCTGCTGTAAAAATAAATGCATATCAGTCAAGATAAAGACATTACTATATTCATTATTAGCAAACAGCTTTTCATTTTTTGTTGTCAATTAAACAGCAGACAGCTTTTCATTTTTTGTTGTCAATTAAACATACTTTTTCCCCCCTAGTGCCCTCCCACCCTCTATTACCCATTCCCATATTACCCTTATACTTACTTTCTCTAGTATCTACTGTTGCTCTCCCTGCTTTTATACCTTCCAAATATTCAGTTTCTGCATCATTTTCTACAGAGAACTTTACCCGTTTCTGTCTGTTAAGTGTTTCTTTTCTGAGCCCCTCTCTCCCACCTTCTAATAACCCCTCCCCTCCTGTATCGTCCTTGGTATCTACATTTATCTTCCTTACTATTATATTTCAGATCTTTCAGTTTCTGCCATAGAGTGCAGACATTTAGTATTGAGCAGGGATATAGTGTTTGTCTTTTCATGACCTGGTTTACTTCACTTCCCATCAAATCTTCTGTATTCATCCACTTTGTATTAAAAGACAGGTTCTCTTCATTCCTTATGGCTAAGTAGTATTTCACAGTGTGTATGTACCACATTTTTTCAACTCAGTTGTCAGTTCTTGGGCACATAGGTTGATTCCATGTTTTCCCAATTGTGAATAATGCTGCAATAAATATGGATATTTAAGTGTCTTTTCAATTGGGTGTTTTCCTATCCTTTGTGTATACACCAAGGAGTGGGATTCCTGGGTCATATGGTGGTTGTATTTGTAGGTTTTTAGGAACCTCCATATTGTCTTTCCACAGTAGCTATACTAATTTACATTCCCACCAACAGTGTAGGAAGGCTCTTTTTTTACCACAGCCTCACCAGTACTTGTTCCTTGTTTTTGATCGTAGGCATTCTGACTTGAGGTTAAGCAATAACTCATTGTAGCTTTGATTTGCCTAACATTTCTTCACATGCATTTTGGCCACTCATATGTCTTCCTTAAAGAATTGTCTGTTCAGGTCATTTGCCCATTTAAAAATTGGTTTGTTTTTTATTTTGTTTTTGTTTTTGTTTTTTTTGTTGTTGTTGTGGGTGAGCTGCTTGAGTACCCTATATATTCTGATTTTCAGTCCCTTATCTGAAGCATAGTTTGCAAATATTTTCTCCCGTTCTGTGTGGTGTGTCATCTGTTTACTCTAGTTGCTGTTTCCTTTGCTGTGAGGAAGCTTTTAAGTGTATGTTGTCCTACTTGTCTATTTCTGAAATTGTTGCTTGCAATTTAGGGATCTTCTTTAAGAAATCTTTGCTTACTCCAATATCTTCAAATATTTTCACTAGTGGTTTTATAGTTTGAGACTTTCCACTTAGATCTTTGTTCTATTTTGAGTTGATTCTTGTTAATAGTGAGAGACAAAGGTAGTTTCACTATTCTGCAGGTGGCTATCCAGTTCTTCTAATACCATTTGCTAAAAGTCATTCTTTTCTCCACTGTATTATCTTGTGCCTTTTGTCAAATGTCAGTTGATTGCATGTTTTTGGGTTTGTTCCTGGTGCTCTATTCTGTTCTACTGGTCTATGTGTCTATTTTTGTGTCAGTACCATGCTGTGTTGATTATCACAGCTTTGTAATATATTTTGAGCTTGAATAAGATACCTCCTGCTCTATTCTTTTTGTACAGTATTGCCTAGTGATACAGGGTCTTTTATGGTTCCAGATAAATTTTATAATTTTTTCCTTTTCTCTCTCTCTCTCTCTCTCGGGAGAGGTTTTTGCTATAGGACATATGCACTCACCAGAAAGACAGAGGGAGACAGAGAGACAGAATGTGAGAAATCATCCCCCAGAGAGGATGGCCATGCCACAATCCCTTCTCCTCCATTCTCCTCTTGGGATTCTGGGCATGCATGCACATGCACCCGGTGTGAGTTTAAGCCACCAGGTCTGGGACTCCAACCATGGTCGACAACTGAGAGTCCATCAGCATAGCCATTACACCATCTGTTGGTCCCAATTTTTTTCCTATTTCTATGAAGAATGTTACCAGTAATTTTATTAGAATTGCATACAATTTGTAAATTAATTTGGGTAGAATTGACATTTTTATTATATTGATTCTTCCAAACCAAGAGCATTGTATTTCTTTTTATTATTATTATTATATTCAACTTCTTTTTCAGTTTTTCATAGATTTTTCTTTAGGTTTTACCTCTTTGGTTAGTGTCTTAATTAGAAAAGTTTTGAGTAATTTTTCATTTACAAGTATACTGTTTATTCTTCTTAATCTCTGATTATTTATGCACTGGCATATTTTTATTGAATAAATATTTATTTAGCATGTGAAACAATGTATAAAACACAGGAAGTTCTCTACAGAATTGCAGCTATTATTGACAGATCTGGCAAGATCATCATGGTATGGAGTTTAACTATGTCTCGGTGTAAATTAGGGACATAGCTTATAATATAAATTATTCATTGTTTAGTTGACATTTAAATTTAACTGGGTTCCTCTATTTTATATGGAAACCCTAGGCTGGAGTCAGGATTGACCCATCATGGTCAAGGGCCCCAACCTTAGTCACTTTTTGATTGGACATGGAGGGTCCTGAAACTGTCATCCATCTACAGTGCAGTGTATGGAATGGAGTGATGGTGGTGGAGTATAATAGTTTACCATGTAAAGAACTGTTGTCACTGGTACTTTTTTTTTAAATCACACTCCAGAAATTTGATTTTTTATTTCATTTCTGATAGGAAGTAGTGAGAACAGTAAGCTGAAAAGGTAAATCTGAGAAACCTCTCTGTCAGGTCATTCTTTTTCTTCCACATGCACACCCCTCTGGAACTTACCACCCGAGATGCAAAATAGTTAAGTAAAAACCAAACGCAGATAGGGAGAACCAGTTATTGACATCTGTTATGGTGGTGGGCCTTTATTTTTGTTATTGTTGATGTTATTACCCATTCTACATCAATACTTTTCGATAGACTGACTTATTATATAGGTTGAGTTTATGTGCCACTTGTAATGTGGATTTTAAGATTCTTATAGTGTTATTTTCATTTGTAGAAAGTTTACATAGCATTTCATTTCAGAGCATCTTGTTTTGCTTTATAATTTCTATTTGTGCTCAGTATTTCAATATTTTGTCCACTCAATAAATTGACACTATTGTAGACACTTTATATGTATTATTTCTGATTCTTATTTATAGGTGGAAACTGAGGCTCAATGAGTTAGACTATTTCTTCAAGGTCACACAAGCAGTAAACGCCATGAGTCAGCTTCAGTTTCACATCTGATTTGAAAGCTGATACTCCTTCCACACACCACATTTCACAAGTACAATAATCAAACTGACATATGTCAAGTGAGGATAGATTTCTAAATTATTTAAAATGTATTGCGGCTATTTAACACTTTACATCTTGAATTTAATGAAAGCAAATACATTAAAATATAAATGAAGGTTAACTGTCAATCCCAGGAAATTCTTTATTATTCACAGTCTCTGAAAAAGCATGTTTTGGATTACAACCTAGCTGTCAGAATGTAATTTGTCAGCAGAGAACAAACTTACCAGGATGAAAAGAACACACTAATCATGAAAAAAAAGTTTTCAATTTCCCATTTACACAGACATCCAGAAGTTGCCATGGTAACCAGAAAACATTTGCAAAACAAAGCCTGAATGTGCAGGACACAGAGTGGAATGCTCTTTCCTTTCATGTTTCTTACTCATGGCCAGCGTTTTAAGGAAAAGTTATTAAGAGTAGTTTCATCCTCTTCTGTTTGTTCACAACTCTTAAATAATTTCTGCAATCCTGCTAATGTTTTGAATAAAACCTGATTATGTCCTTAGTGTAAATTTTTTGTTTAAGTTGAATTGCCAGGCCAAAGAGAATAAATATTATGAAAGTTGACACAGCATCAAAGTCCACCAGCAGTATCACTTGATGTTTTTTGTCTTATAGTTGAAATATATGTATTTTAATATCCAGAGGGCACATGCACCTGCTAGAGAAAGACAGTTAGGAGGAGGGAGAAGAGGAGGGAGGAGAGAAGGCACCCACCCTCAGTGGCATGTATTCACACAAAGATCTCTTTTTCTCCATTTCTTTATCCTTTTTGGATGTTGGGTATGCATGCACATGTATCTGGTGTGTTTTTTAAACCTCTGGGGCCAGGATTCACTGATTGACTGTTTGGAATCCAGCTCTCTTAACCACTTGGCTAGGGGGTTAAAATATTTGAAGAGTTGAAATACGTGAATAGTTGAAATATTTCTTTTAATTCATCAAATCTAGTTAACAAGACATTCAGCATTTGTCAGGCTTTGCATTGTCCCATAGCTATTAGCACTTGCCCTCCCATGAAGGCTCAATCCCACTCATGGTCTGGCACACTCTGTGCCCAAGTATGGTCCCAGGGTAACTTACCTGAGAGTTTAATAATGAAGCTTCTTTGATCCCATTTTTTCTTTTTCTCTTCAAGTATTTATT